TAAAATAAGACTTGTATTTAGCATTTGAGGGGTAATATTTTGTTTCCACCTGTGTTAAGAACTATCAATCATCAATATATATAATACCTCTCGTTCTAAATGCATATGATCTAATTTGCAGTACGATTACCTAATTTCACAATATCATATTATATCGACAGATAGTAAAAAAATCTCCCATAACTTGCACTACTACTATTCGCAAACAATGAACAATCCAGCTTATTTTTTGAATCCTATGCGGTGCACAAAGTCATATTAGCAAAATATAAGTATCTTGCTGCCTTTCGGTATCCGGTACAATGTTCCCCTAGGATGAGCTGATTTGTCCCCATAGCCATGGCTCTAATCACAATTTGGAGGAAGCAGCAGAGAGAGCATGAGAAAACTAGTTCCCTTCTCAATATTTTGCCTGATGCAGACTTGGAATACTGTTCACAAATGATAGCCGCCTTATTTTCTTGTATGGTGCCACCTGCAACATTAGAAAATCAATTATTATACATAAGCCAGATCTATTCTGATATTTTTTCCCCCCATATATATACGCATTTAGCAGTAATTACCTGCTTTGCCACAAAATCCATGACTTCAGATGCACTAATATTGCTTCCAGACTTTCTTACCAGAAAGGCCATTGGTATCTGCCCAGCTTCTTCATCTGGGTAGCTGTCACAGCAACACCCAAGTTGCTAGTTAATTATATACTACCTCTGATCCTAATTATAAGACCTCATTTATAGTCTACAAATGAGGTCTTATAATTAGAACCGGAGGTAGTATCTATGCTTCAACAAAAACAGACGCTACTGTATACTTGAATCTTTACCATGAAACTAAATATACAGATGAAAAAGGATTGTTTTAAAATATAGAACTAAAAGAATAAGGAACTGGAGGCGTACGTACGATGAAAAATGGGAAGCAATGAAAAATTTGGGTTTGACGAGACTGAGAGACACTTACGGAATTACAGCAGCATCGGCAATTTCAGGATTGGAGAGAAGTACAAGTTCCAACTCAGCTGGGGGAACCTGATTTTGTTTCATCAGTTCAGATTTTAATGAGCAACAAAACGTCTGTATTCACGAAGAGCATAACATGATCACCTGGTATGCTTTGTATTTAATGAGTTCCTTTAACCTGTCGACAATAAAGAGGAAGCCGTCAGAGTCAAAGTAACAAAGATCGCCAGTCTTGAGCCATCCTTCTGAATCCAATGTCCCAGCCGTCGCCTCCTCACCCTAATTCTTTTCCAGTCGACCCACTGAACCGTGACGCTTAGTCTCTTCAGGCCCTATCATTCTCGTTGCCAAACCTGAGCTCTCAGTCAAACCATAGCCCTGCGGTCAAAAAAATACGATAAACAGGCTGTAATGAAAAAGACTGCGGAATTAATATTTCATGCATGTAATAAACTCAATTGTGTTTGTACGTTGAGCACTTGGATCACAATTTTATACAGAAGTCAAAGTTAGACAACTTATGAAGGTTGCTGAGTTTTGTGGGTGCGTTTTGAACAGTATAACAGTATTATGGAAAATTCAACCCACCTCGGCAATTTCTGCGTTAGGAAATTTGACTTTGAAGTTTTCTGCCACCTCCTTGCCAAGCGGAGCGCCGCCGCACCCCAGAATTCGAAGCGAGCTAAGGTCGTACTTGTTTACCAACTCCGACTTAGTCAGCTCTACCACAAGTGGCGGCGACACCGGCATGCTCGTAATTCTGTATCTCTCTACAACCTTCAGCATCCCTTCGAAATCGAACCTCTGCATCAAACCATGGTGTCCCCCGTTGCCACGGACGAAAGCAGCATGAAAAACCCAAAAACGTGAAACAGAGGCAATGGGAACAAATACACGCGACGTTCTTCGTCATTCATATTCTGGCTTCTCGTGTGATAGAGGCCACTGATGACTGAAATAAAATTCCTGTGAGTCAGCAAAGCTCCCTTGACTCGGCCTGTGGTTCCCGAAGAGTAGAGAATCGCCGCCGTATCGGATTGACTCACCTCAACTCTGTCGGTTCCCCTGTTATTATCACTTCCAGGAAGTCCATTGATCATCATGGAAACGAACTGAGGGGAGTCAAGCAATACGGTGCCGTATTGAAGTTTGGGTATCTTGTGGACAGTAGAAGAGGTGGCGAATGCGATAACGGGTTGACTGAGTCGAACCTGGTGAGCCACCTCCGAGTCAGAGCAAAGCGGGTTAGAGGGTGAGACGATGACTCCCAGAGATAAGAGAGAGAAATAGAGAACGGGAATGTGGAGGGAGGAAGGGGAGAGAATGAAGGCGACGTGGCCTTTGGAAAGAGGTGTGAGGGAAGCGAGAGAGGCAGCGAGGTTTTTGACTTGGTGAAGGAAGAGGGAGTAGGACAGGTGGTGGCCGGTGACGGAGTCCACGAGGACGGTGGTGGATGAAGCGGCGGCAGGAAGGAGAGAGAATACGAAGTCGGTGATGGAGAGAGGCTGAGAGGGAGGAGGAACCGGGAAGTCAGGGCGGAGGCTATGGAATGTTCGGGTCGAAGGGCAGAAGCCGGAGTTTGGGTCGACGTCAGTGAGGTTAAGCTTCGCCATTGAAACGAAGATGGCGTTGACTGTGGAGATTTCAGACAGTGGATTCAGAAAGATCAAAGAAGAGAACGTGAAATGCCGTGGCTCAATCTCCTCAAATAAAGACACACAAAAATTGAATGGCCATATAATACTAATGTAGCTAGAAATCACTTATATTCATTAACATGAGAGTGATATTAATTAAATCATTCATTTTTCAATGCTGATATTCCTTAACTAGACATTTGTCTCCATGTGCAATGCGCCATACGTGTATTTAACTCCGGTAGCTTCTGAAACCGGAGAGGTGCTGAAACTCTGGTTCTCTCTTCTATGGACCTGGCTTCTTCTCTCATAAACATCATCATAATTACGAGTTCTTCTTTCTAATTTTTATTTTTCTAAACCTTTAGAAAATATTGTTTGTGAAAAGATAAAGAGAGGCAATAATGCATGAACAATGTATTGAAGGTGAGGAATATTATTACAAAGATTCCCTTTAACAGATGTGGATCCCAATCTCAATGTATTGAAGGTGAGATTCACAGTACACTCAATAATGCATGAACAATTATTCAATAGGTACACATCTATGGAGAGAAATAAGGTTTTGCAGATATGCCAAAGTGGATAAGCTCAAGTCAATCCTTGCCTAATCTTCCAAGATTGATGAGCTGTTTTCTTAAATTCGGCGTTTGGTCTTCTTGCCTTTTAGTTTTTACTGGTATACTTGGATTTCGCTTTTGCAAAATTAAAAAAATGCTTTTTAAAATACTGCTTTTATCTTATATCTGATCACTTTTTAAATCTAGTTTTTTTATCACAACATTTTAAATTCAGTTTGCAAAATATAAAATACAAAGCTAGTTTTCTAAACTCAAATTAAAGTATATTTTACAAATTTTAAACTAAACGCACACTACACTATTTTGGGTGTCTCAATCAAAACGCCGTCAGGTTTTTTGTTCTTTTTGTTTGTCTCCAGGCTTACCTAGGCTGCTCTTCAGCAACGCAACGCATTGCTATTAATCTAAGTTTTAACTCAACATAAACTGAAAATATTGGACAATTGTTAATCAGAGATTGACCCGGCAAACCATTATATACAACTTTTTTTTAATGAGATTACGTTTCAGATTTGTCAGCTTATTGTCAAATTATATTATATTGGTCACGATTCGGGCAATAAGAATTATCGGCAGCAACGATGTCATAGTTTTAGTATTTTTCCATGGACATCATAAATCATGTTCTTTACTGTTTGCCTGCATATATTTGTCTGGATGAATTTATACATATATAGTATATTTAAAGCATTAAAAAAAAGAGATAATTCTTAAATCATATATACATATTTAGCTGATTTTTTTTGGGGTCAAAATACATATTCAGCAGCTTTCAGTTATTTTTTCATGAATCAGACAAAAGAGTGTGTCAAACTTTATAAATTTTGCCCGGTCAAAAAAAAAACTTCATAAATTTTGGGTTATTACTCCTTAATTAGCAATCGCTCTGAAGGATGAGGTCAAATGGATCAAGACTATCAGGGGTGTGTTGATTTAGAGGCTGTTTGGTAACGGGAAAATAGGGCACCGGTAAATAAAATGGGCAACGGAAGACACCTTCCCTCAAAAAATGAGAGGAAAGCTTTTGCCTACGTAGATGATATACCTATTTTACCCTCACAATGATGGCTTCATCGTCTTCTCCGTTTTTTCCATCTCCGCGCGGCTTCATCATCCTCTCCCTCGGCTCTTGGCTTCATCCTACCAGAGAGCTAGGTGAGTAGTGGTTGATGGCAGGTCGCGATCTTCTCCGTCGACTTCTTCGACCGCTCACATCTTGGATCTGTTTCTTTCCATTGGCTCCGCCTCTCAGTCAAAAAGAAAGCATTCACACCATCATCTCCATTTTGGTGAACTCGAGCGATGAAGATTAACGATGCCAACTTTAGACGTCCCTAATAAGTCGTTGCCTTCGATGTCCCCAATGCCTCATCCCCCCGTGACGTTCTCTGGCTTCCCACTCACTGCCGTCTCTCGATTCCCTACCATGTATTGAAGTCTAGTTCGCTATGCCCTTTTCTTCTCCAATGTCTTCTTTCTCAGATCTCATGCGGCTCGGTTTTCTTTTTTTCTTTCTTTTCTTCTCCTTTCTTTCGGTTTTTTTTTTTTTAAATTAAAGCTTGCCTGCTTAAGATTTGTGATGGCTGATTCTGCGGGAGGGAAAAGTTCCCCCCACCCCAAAAAAAAAAATTGTAATAGTGCAATAACAATAAATCCTTTAATAAATTCAAAAAACCCTCAAAATTCTGAAAATAATAATAAAATCCACAACGTATGACAAAAGTGAAAATTCATGCAGGGTGTAGAACCAACATTTATCATGAATCACAAGTACATTGGGACTTTTCCCTCCCACTTTTTTGAAAAAAGAGCAACACTAAGACTCAACTGAATTTTATTTCGTTAAAGTAACTCATCACAATCAGTGAGTTTGACTAAGGCCGGCGTTTCTTGTGAAACAAATGAGTTAAAGTTCAGAGTATGATATTAAAATCAAATTGGCAAACTTATTTATGAATGGCAAAAACAGATGCATCAGGAGGTGAAGCTATCTGAGTCTCATGAAGATAGCACCTTCTCCACTTCAGCCGTCACTTCTTTGGGAGGTTTCTCAGCTGCGAGGTTAGCAACAACTCTCTTCTTTGAATAATAATCAATAACCTACATTCCCAGCATCAAACTTTTCATAAGCACCCATTTACTATACAGAATTAAATGAAATGAAATTTAAAAACAAAATTAAAATGAAGATTGATTTTGATCATCACTTTTGTTTCCTGTTTTAACCTTTACTTGACTGTGGTCGAGATGAATTGAAAATCATACCGGTTCAGTTTGCTTGTGAAATGCCTCCAGTCTCGACTTGAGAACAGTTGCTGTATCATCCTTGCGCTGAATAAGAGGCTCACCAGTAACCTAAGCAAAACAAATTTGTCATCTTTATATCTACACTTTATATATAAAATATATAAATTGTAGTATTAATGAACATTGTGGCTCATGGTGGATTCCATGGAAAGCTCTCAGATTCACAATCGAGTTGTAATTTACAAGTTCTGAGCAAAGTTCACAAACATTAATAAGAATCATGGGGCAGTATCAATGTGGCCAGAAACCAAGTTGATTTAAAATTGAATAACAAAAATCAATCAACTGTCCGCATTTGCCTTAATATATTCAGAACTCATCCTACTCTGCTTGATTAAGCCTTTAGATCACTCTCTCATTCGTGTCCCTGTGACCATCACTCACATTTTGCCAACTAAAATTTCTAAACTTGTACAATAAAAGGTAAAAAAAATTAGAAAACATTCACAAAGAGGTAGACTTACATCATCAACCCCAGGAACCTTGGGAGGAGCAAATTTTGTATGGTAGGTTCTGCCACTGGATGGGTGTATCCAGCGACCAGTAATACGCTCCTCAAGGATAGCATCGTCAATTGCAAAATTCAGCACCTTATCAATTTTAACCCCCTTCTTCTCCAGCATCTCATCAAGCTGCACGCAGAAAAACATACAATGTTCATATTTTACATTCACAGATGCAGAGGAACAGCGAGTATGAAAATGCAAATAATAAAGTTCATGACTGGTACTTCATGCAAACAAACGCATGCACAGCCCAACATCTCATGCAAAAGAAACTCAGACAGAAGCTCAAATGCCCACCAACAACCTAATACCTTCTCTGCTTGGACCACAGTTCTTGGAAATCCGTCAAGAATGAAACCTTTCTGGCATGATGGTTTCTTTATTGCTTCATCTATAATGCCAACAACTAAGTCATCAGAAACAAGTTGTCCCTGGAAAGTAGTCCCACGATGTCATGTTCGCAATCTATCCTGATAAGATCACAAAAAGTGACACAGCAAATCCACGTTATAGAAAAGTCCTTACTGCATCCATAGCTTCTTTAGCCTTGATGCCCAGAGGGGTTTTAGCAGCTACAGCGGCTCTTAACATGTCACCTGTAGCTAAGTGGCACAAGCAGTACTCATCTTTAATTATTGGTGACTGAGTGCCTTTTCCTGAACCAGGAGGACCTGCATTTACAGTTTTTAAGTTAATTCTAAGAAAGCACTACATTATATGATGCTCATACCTTGATATCTATACTAGATAAGCATATGCGCATGCAATATATATGTATATAAATACATATGCATGTATGAGCATATAGTGCGTGCACATGCAACCAAAATATAAATTAAATAGGTATACAAATAATTGCCACTAGAAGTAGATCAAGATGTCCTTTTAGAAAGTAGACCTCTATTCTTGAGTCCATCAAAAATTTACAGGCAGCAAATTTATAATCAATGCCTAAACCTACAAGCACAAGCATATATTAAGTTTTCTGTGATTCTTTCGTACACCTAGCATCTGAGCTGCTGGTTAAACAGAGGAAGAAACAGTAATTTGAAGAAACGAAGAAGCTATCATCGAGGTGAACTTCTGACTTTTGAGAGGAAAGAGAGAAATATGATGGACACATATTATGGGATGCCTAGTCCCACATTAAGTAGCATAGGATGTTCTATAACGTACTTAAGCAGGTTGGCCCTTTAATAGCTAGCATTTAAGAAAAGCTTCCCCATCACAATTGAGCACCCATGAAAATAATAAGAAGGAAGAAGAAGCTCACACTGCCTGGGAGAATCAGTAACTCATAAAAAGTACAATCGCAAAACCCACAAAAGTTTCTCTAATGTCAAAGTAGATACACGAATTGGCCCAATGACAGACACCATGCACTACTGCCCATGGCAGGGCCAGAAAATATGGCAATGTCACAACTGTGGTGTCGCTAAATTATGCTTGGCATGAGGCAATGGACATCGCCATCCATAATAACGTGCCGTTAACAAAATATGGTTTGATCAAGGAAAATTATTGGAAAATACTAAACGAAAAACCAAATAGATATTCCCCATTTCTAACAGAAGAATCACACTACAATTTCTCATACTAATTGCTGCTACATATACTTGTCCAACTAAGATAACTAAAGAAAGCAACAAAATTTTCACCCAAAAATGGAAAGCAAGAAATGCAGTAATGCTTCATTGTTTCAAAATTTCATTATCGAAAGAGTGGCATAAAAAAAGATAGAGGAGAACCTTAAAAAGGGGAAACTCTCTACTAAAGCAACAATAGACAGCACACATCATATATTTTACTCCTCCGGTCCTAATTATAAGACCCAATTGACTTATTTGAGAGATTAAGGAAGTAAGTTAAGTTGGTTATTTATAATAAATAAGTGTTGTCATTCCTAAAATATCCTTGCTAATTAAGTATATTGGCTAAAACTATCATTATTAGAAGGATTATCTTGGGAAAAATACATAAATATAAGAGACAAATGGATTGGGTCTTATAATTAAGACCAAATAAAAAGTCAAATTGGGTCTTATAATAAGGACCGGAGGAGTATTATCTATAAACAAAATATTAACCCTGCGATGCAAATTGTTACAATGCAAAAATGACCAGTAAAAACACAGAAGAAACCACATACTGTAACATCAGTCCTACAATCACCATAGACAGATTCACCAACTAAAAGAAGCATATTCTCGAGCACGATTTAGAACTCCTCGAAGAGACACAGGTGGGTTTCAAAACACAAAGTACATTATTGAGCGAAGGTACATTCAACACCAATATTCGCTTCTTTCTTGCAAATGCCACCACAAATTATACACAGATCATCAAGTGATTACAACTATACACATAAAAATTATGGGGCATCTTGTGCAATCCCTAAATGAAACCTTTGCTACGGCAAAAAGACTCAAAAAGCCACCAAAAAAAAAATCGTCAAAACATTCAGATAGGATTTTCGGATCTGAAAGCAAAAGAACAAAGTGAAAACTTGAGAAAAATAGAGGTAGAAGACACGTATATACCAACGAGGATGAGACGCTTGTCAGGTTTGGAGGAGCATTTGAAGCGACGGAGAAGCTCAGTCATGAGATCCATAGAGGGAACATCCTCCAGGTTAACTGCCGCACTACTGCTCGCCATTCCTCTTTCTCTTGCTTCTTCTTAATGGCCTTAGTTTTCTCGTCTCAGAGGAGAAACCCAGGTAGTCAGCAGAACCAGCTCACGCGTTGAAGTGACGACGGGAATTTAAGCTTCCGAATGCCTCAGATTTCGGACCCTCCAAAGCTTCAAATTCAAGCCGCCGCGACAGCAGGTTCCCTTGAAGTGACCGTCTTGCCCCTTGCTCCCAGCGTTAGGTGATGGGTTAAAACTCAATAGGCACCAACCTTTTGACCAACAAATCAAATGACACCAACCTCTGCGACTCTTTCTTTCTCTTCCTTTGTTTTAATAAACAATTTTTTTTATAGCATTAAGAAGCATTCTTCTCTTTTTTTTCCCCTTTTTTTTTTGGCTTCATATAACATCAAGAGTTTAAAGTTTAGACTCTATTCCTCAGGGGAAAACATCTCTCTTTATATCCCATCTTATTGTCTTAATAAGTCTTAACAAGGAATGTACTTATATTTGTAAGGGGGGGAATTTTCCATCAAAAAAGAGAGGGCGTTTTTTTTGGGAAGGGTGAATTTTCTCAATTCAATCTAAACTCCTTTGAATTGGGTTCTACTCTATAATATATAATTTGATTTATTAAAAATTAGGATTTACACTGCATAATCTAAATCTCTGGTCAAACATGAAGGATTCATTTAGAATGATTTATAAACAGTTTTAATCGTAGTTTACAAAATTTAAAGAAAATATATTTTTTAAAAATTTCTCAACTTACATGAAACGTATTTATAAGTAATTTTAAATTATTTTATGAGTGATTTCAATTTCTAGCTTTTTGTTTCGAACCATGATTATCATGATGATGATGATAATTCTTATGGGAACAAGGAGATGTGTTCTTCTCCTTTTTTTTCTTTGCAGCATATATGATGGAATAAGACCATCCATCTTTATCTTCTTCGTCTGCCACTCCTTCAGGCTAAATGAGTTGAATCTGTTAGCCTCCTTTATAAGAGTCTTGGGAGGCTTCTGTTGGTAGAGGGACTTGTGACCTATTTGGTGGAGGTCTGATAACACTCATGATGAAATCTCTCTGAAATTCTTCAAGTGTTGTGCTACTGGCTGGTAGTGAACTTGGAGGGAAAGGTCCAAGAGAAAATATGAAATGTCTTCCCCCGTATCTGGTTAATTAAGTGCAGTTAATGTCTTCTCAATTTTCTCCATTAATAATCTTTCTTTTCTTGGCCATGAGGGAGTAGTGACCTGGAGAAGCATATGGTTGTCTGTGTAAAGCCTTTGGGCAGCATCTATACCATAGTTTCTGAAAAGGTATATAAACAGATAACCATCTGCTTCTCCAGGTTACCAGAAACCATTCTCTTAATGTTCCAGTTAGTTTTAAGAGAAATTCTGTAAGAACTTTCTCAAGATTTGTATCATGCTTGGCAAGCTGCAAATCAATCCATACGCCGAACTCATGGAGTCTATCTCTCCATTTGTCTGGAGGAAGGTCATTAAAAGTGAACCATGGATTTGTAGTAGGTTTGTAGTCTGTTCTTCTAAGCTCAGATGTATGAGGGACAAATGGTTCTTCATCAAAAGGATCTTCAACTGTAGGATCTGGTTGGACCATTGCTACCTTAAAAATATTAGCATGATATGTTTTAGAATTAAAGTTAGAACTATATTCAATAGAAGGATCAGACTCAGTTTCAGAGCTTTCATTTGATGATGATTGATCTTTATTCAAGGATTGGAGAGTGGCTATGGTCTTGTTTGGATCAACTTGGATTTTTAGTCTGTCCGTCAAAGTTGGATCTGAAAGTTTGATGTTGAAATCTGGAGCCATGATAAGGATGACACTACCGTTGCTAAGAGTAGTCAAGACAGCACCGATCAGAGCATTACTATAGGAAGTATAGGTAGTATCAACTATAGCAACTTTAGCAATAGCTGGAATTCCCTTTCTCCCATAGAATGTAAGAATAAGGCATATAGTACCTATATGGAGATGGATATAACCTTGAGCTATCCATTCATTAACAAAGGTTAAGGTATATCAACAGTGACATATTGTTCAGAGGAAGAAACAAGAAGACCACAATTTTCTAAACATTAGGATTTTGTCATGTAATGACACCGAGCCTCTATATAAACCACACTCTGCAATCAGTTAGGGGCAGAAAAAGTTGGATCAACTTCCTTGTATAATACTAGTGTGCTTTTTTCATGAGTTCTCTCTAAATTTCTTTCTTCTTCTGAAAGCCTCACTTATAATGTATTTCTTCTGTCACCAGAGATTCTAAGTATACTCTGTACTAGCCTCTTTAAAAAAGGATCTTGTGCATCAAAAAATAGAATTTGATCATAATCCGTGAAGGAGTGTTTAGTGACAATCTTTCTAGTTATCCTAGATCCGATATTCAAAGCTGAGAGTCCTAATGTGGCTCGTTGATGAGTTGAGAATGAGTGGTCTTACCTGGATTGAAGCTTTGGATATCAGACTAAGTTAGCTTGGTCCAATACAGCTAACACCCCGAGTGGATCATGATTATATTCTATTTTCTAACGCATAAGATTCTCTTAAAGAGGCAAGTGCAGAGCACACTCAGAATCTCTTGTGACAGAAGAAAGATATTGTAAGTGAGGCTTTTAGAAGAAGAGAGAAATTTAGAGAGAATTCATGAGGAAAACACACTAATATTATACAAAAAAGTTGATACAACTCCTGCTGCCTCTAACTGATGACAGAGTGGGTTTTATAAAGAGGCTTGGTGTCATTACATGACAAAATCCTATTAGTAGACATCATTATGACAAGTACGTGTCATAATGGCTTGACATTCAATAATCACAACTATTCTAATAATGACACAATTACCAACAACTCTTATAATGACAACTACTTTACTTGTTACAAGAAGACAAAATAAATTACAGGATGAACTACTAATAAAGTAAAAATAGATAACGACATAAAATAGTCTTCTAGCGGATCCCCTTTTTCTTCGAATTGACACAGAAGATTCATCATAAAACAGTTCCTTTTTTCGGTCAACGTAAAACAGTTTAATTTTGTCACTAGAGCAGAAGGACGGATAGACTTGAGCATTTGAGTGCCACCGTGAACTGAACGAGCAAGCTTATGAGCCTGTTTGGGATCGCGTTGCACGATACCAAATGCTCATTTGAAAGCTCAAACGAACTTCTGCCTAAATTTTATTGTTTGGGATCACAGTGGAGCAAATGGGCTTCTCATGAAAAAGTCAGATTGAATGAGAAGCTCAAAATTGTTGCTTCTCACTTCTCAGCCGTGGAGAGAGAAAAATAAAGATGAAAAAAGAAAAGGGTATTTAAATGGTCCCACTTAATTCAATAATTTTATGTTTATAAAAACATTATATGAAAAAAAAAAACAAATAAGATTTAATTTGGAGAGTTTACTTTTAATAATTTTATTTTTCTTACATCTTTTAAAATAGTTACATTATATATATAATATTATATATATATTATTTAATAAAATTCATGTCCTTTTAAGTCATTTTACATCCAAACTTACTTTTACATTTATTATCCAAACAAGTTTCAGCTTCTCAAACTAACTTTTTTTCAAAATCCAATCCAAACATAAATCACATTACCCTATCTGACTTTTATCCAATCTAATTTCTGTAAAAGTCAGATTGAAAAAAAAGTTACTTCTCCACCGCTAATCCAAACACACTCTGTTCTTCTAAACAAAAAATGGGGTTATGTCTGTTTTAAAACTTTTTAAAATAACAACGATAAAAAAGTATTTTATCAATGTGAAAAATACCAAAAAAATATCTCTTGAAATTTAAAATTATAAATCAGCCTTGCACTTGAATAACAATTAACTATATTTAAAAAGTAAATAATAACACATTTTCACATGATAATTAATGATCTGAGACTTGGAAATTTTAAAAATATTTTTTGAGAATTTTCCCTGAATTCAAACTAGATTATTAATTTATCATTTACCAATATAACTAAATTAGCATGTACTATCATTTCTAACAAAAATAAAAATTAAGAAAATATAACTCTGAAGTAAACTTAATCATACAGCTTCCATGCCTACACCTGTTTTTGATTTGGCTCTTGTACGGATAATATTCTACAGTATTCGCCCCCCCTTCGGCGCACATCAACAAGAAAAACGTGCCGCAAACCCTATGTCAACACTGTTTCTTTTCAAGCCTATTTAACATATTTTGACTGAAATTTTCATACATCAAAACTGCTGCAGGAGAACAATCGTAGGTTTAATCTTTCAATTGGATCCCTCGGAAGAAAGTTTATACGATCCTGGCAGACCTCATCAGGCCATGTGTTTCTAACAAAAGCACGGGATATTAAAATGATGCACAGACTTGAGGGACCAAGTTTTACGCCATGAAGGATAAAAGACAACCTACAGCAAGCTCCAGCATCCAGAATGCATTCAAAACTAACTAATAAATTTACCGTCATTCGTGACAAGACACCTATTTTCGCAGCTAGTTTACTAGCTACTCACCATCCGCACTTTTCGATTTCTTCTTTTTCTTCTTTTTTGTCTCCTTATCATTCTCATATACTTCCCCGTCATCTCTTTTTTCCTTCTTTTTCTTTTTAGTTGTTTCCTGCTGCTCATTTTCAACCCCAATAGCACCGTCCTCATCCATCTCCTGGTCCAATTTCCTCTTCTCTTTCTTTTTCTTCTTCTTTTCTGACTTGTGATCCTCCCCTGCACCACCATTTGTAGTTGCCCTGTCTCCTCCACCTTCCTCATCCTGCAGCTCCATCTCCTGACCCAATTTCTTCTTTTCTTTCTTTTTCTTCTTCTTTTCCGATTTATGATCCTCCAATGCACCGCCATTTGTAATTTCTGTGGGCTTATCCACAACCATGTCTTCACCTTCATCAGCAGAACCTTTTGACTTCTTCTTCTTACTTTTCTTGCTAGATACTTCAACAGGCACTTCTGTCTCCATCTGCGTGTCTGCAACATTAACTATATATCAGCAAAATCACACCATTGAAATTTCACTATCCAAGGAAAAACACTCATTTTAACCTCACAAGATTCTGTCAATTGCATTCTCTGATATTTTACTTCCATAAGTAACCAAATACAGTCACAATTTTTTTGAAGATGAACTGAAAAGGGAAGGGGAAGAGAAAGGGCAGGGCAATGTCTTGTCTCTTTGCATTGCTACAAACCTTTGTTTTGAGCACTCTCGATAGCAGACTTCATGACATCTATGTTTTTACGTGGGGCAACTCCCTTGTCATAAAAGTCAAGTCGCTCCTCAACTTGTTCGCGGAGTTTCTCCCCAAAAGCAGAAGTGCCACTCTCTGCATCACAGTAGAAGTGCAGAACAAAATCAGATCAAACACTGAGGGAATAGCCAAGACAGAAGAGACATCATAAGAGATAAACAATGCTAAATATTTTTTAGGCAAAATACTAACCAGAAAAGCAGTCAATGCGTGATGCAATTGAACACTTGTTTGCAAGATATCGTGCCATTCGCCCCTTATTTCTAGCAGATGCACGACCGATAAAAGATGAATGGAATATCAGGCCATATTTAGGAGTGTTTCCTCTGGTCTTCAATGCCCTGAAATATATAGGCAAAGACACTTATTAAAGAAATGAATTCCATCGGAAGAGTGAAAGATTAGAAGAAATAACAGCATCCAGGATGCAACATAAATTAGCAGTTGAAATTGAAGATCAATTCAATTGTTGTCTTCACAAAATGCATATGCTAACATGGCAGAAAAAAGAAGGACTGGGAAATTTACATCTGAATCCTTTTACTTTCAGAAGATACAGCAAGTAGCTACAACTTCCCCCCCCCCAAAAAAAAAAAAAAACAGAGAACCAGGGATTGAGTTCAAGACCTGAATAAGGCCTTCTCTGCACCAAGAATTTGAAGAGTAGAAGAGGGGCACTTAGCCAAATTTGTGAGACTACCGGCATGGGAAATCAATCGAGCACCAACAACTTCGCCAATCAAAGAGGCCAAGTTTGGTGCAATGTCGTTCATCTTAGTAACCAGATAATCATAAAGCTTCCTTCTATACTCAGATAGATCCATTACTCTCTGTGCAAATTGCTGGACATTGATCAAGTCCACTGGGGACAAATCCTGGCCTGAAGAAAATTAAAGAGAATGCAATTTTCAGAACACATTGGGACAAAGGTTACACGCAAAAGAGTCTACAACAATTCTACCCATAGATGCCTTGGCAGCTTCAACTATCTCCTTTGCCTTATCCTCATCTCCGACTATGTCCGTTAAGCCCGGGATTTTGTCTTCTGCCAACTTCGACTTATCCTCAATATATTTTGCCACCTTGGCATACAGATAGTTGTCATTTATAATCTTCACAAGTTCAGGAAAATGCCATGAGTACCATTCTCTGTGAAAAATCCACACTTTTGCTTCAGATAAAGCTTATACTCATTTTCTTAAAAATGAAAATAGAAAACAGTTCTTCAAATTGATTTTATAAAAATTTATTATATTTTCTAAGGGGAAAATCTCTAATGGTATAAAATGGTTCAATAATTCAGGAATCGACTATATTTGGAGATCAATGTTAACAATACCTGACTCTCATTGCGAAGGAATTAATATCCTTATCGAGTGTATCAAGAAGGAAAATTGCTTGAATGACCATGTTGTCAACTCGGTTGACATTAAATTTCACCTTTGCCCTGCTATAACTGTGCCCCAGACCAAGCTGTGCTTTTTCCAAATCTCCTGGCTATGAAATTAAAGAAAGTAGAAGAAAAGTAAAAATATAATAAAAAGAAGGAAATATCTGAGAAGATAAATGACCTCATTTTCACCCAAGGAAAAAAAAAACGACCTCAGGTGAAAAAACAGTGAAGAATCCCAAGAGGAAAAAAATGCTAACCTTGAGGTCCTTCATAAACCTATCAAAATGAAGTCGCACACCACGAAGCAGCTCACCCACAAACTCATTACTTTGGCAAGGAATTTTAGTTAGCTCAGCAATCTGTGAACCAATCTTAGGATCTGCTACTCCTAAGCTGAACTTCGCCTTCTTACCTTCCTTGACTTTAGGAAGATTGAGCTCCAGAAAGCTCCTCAACTCATCAGTCAATAAGCCTGATAATCAGACAGAAGTAAGAGCTAGAAATGAACACTATGAACAACAAACACGAGGATCACATTTCAATTATGTACTCAGAAGACCAATACCAACAGTCGTGAGGCAAGAACTACAAATTTAAATTTGTAATAATCACGACTAACCCTGACAAAATGGCGACATTATGTTCCTAGCTAGTAAAGTCATATATTCCAAATTTTCAGAATTATAATATGTTATTAACCTATGCTTCTGTTCAAGCTTTTAATGTCCTGGCTGCTTCTCCATACTCTAAAAAAGAGATATAGGGTGTGGAAGAGCGAAAACTCATATAGGATCTCAATTTGACAAGGATACACATTTTGACGACCTCCTAAAGTCGATGCTAATGACGCTGAGAAATCTGAAATTTTAAGTGAGCCAGATAATCCAAAGACTACATATCAAAGCTCGATGCCGAGGAAAAGCACGACACGTGAGCCATTCTGATGACAGCTATAACTGTGTGTCTTATATTCAATATTAACTTGAATCATGCGATCCTCAATTGCAAGCTCATATAAGACCTTTCAGCAGTAATATTACAGAATTAGTCATGAAGACAAAATGCACCATCATTTTATTAGCATTTGGTAACACAGAGCATTGAAGAAGAAAGAAGCGAGGTGAATAAAAACGGAATAAACTATGTAATAGCTTAAGATTTTGAAACTATAAATTTATTGTATAAAATGGAAGCTCGGAGCCTGAGGGTGACTACCTTCAGAGACAGCGTTACACTGTTTGAGGGCATCCAGTGCGGACTCAAATGGAAGAAAAGCCGCAAGCTGCACGACCTTCCCGAAGCGGTTCAAGTCCGAAACAGAGTTCCGTACCGCTTCGGTGTTCTGCCCTATTTCGTCAAGGCCATGAGCATGGAACAGAGCAAAGCCAGAAGCCGATTCATGAAGTAAATAGAGGGCCATTGAAGACCAAAGACTCAGAAATATGAGAATTAAAAGCAAGCCGCAAAGGGGTCGAGAGAGGCGAGCATCCGGGGCTCTGCTTCTAACAGGGTTTAGGGCTTTCCGCTTAGGAGGACGAAGCACTTCCGCGCGATTTTATAGCACGGCCGCGCTAAAATGCTACTGTTTGCTATCCATGACCTTGACTTTTTTTTTATGTCATTTTCATTTGTTAGTTTATATATCTACATTTTAATTTTCATATACATTAATATGTTAATGTGTTTATATAATAGCAAAGAAAATAATGTGTTTAAAAATGCTGGCAAAAAACAATGCGTTTATAAAATCTATATCCATATCATTTTAAACTCAATAAACTATCTCGGAGTAAGCAGAAAGAGCAACAAAATTAAGAACTTGTTTAGAACTTTTTTAAAACAGTTTATAAATAATTTTTTAATAGTGATTTACTGTACGAATAAAACCTGCTTATCATGAATTTCTTAAACCTTCCCAACCAGGTCTTAAGATGCTCAACGGAATGAGCAACCAGACAACGCATAAGGCGGAATGGCAATTGCAGAAATTACATGAAAAAATGTGTATGAAATTGTCGTCCAACCTCTAAAATTGATTGGTGAAATTGTGAATAGGGATGGCAATTGTTAATTTTGTTCGTGGCATTTGCAAGTTTTTAAAAATAAACTTACATGCACATCGAGAGCGTCACTTGTGAATTTTTGATGTGACAGTGGCAACCTAAAAAAAAAAGGTTCGTAGCCCCGCTATTAAAGGGTGTCTGGAAACAGTTGCAACATATATTTATAAAAGTTGATTAATATCCTTGGTAGTGAATTCATAAATTCAAGGTCTTTGACATTTGTGTTTCAATTCTATTCCATGTTCGCTATTCATCATTTTCCCGCAGGACGGATCAATTAAAAAAAAAACAAATAAACTAAGAGAGAAAATAACAGTTTTGCGCATGGAAAGCCAATTTGGTCGAAGCCTAAAATTTAGAAATAAACCCTCACTGATCAAATCATCAAAGGCCCGTGGATTTTTTTTTAATGAGAAAAAGTTTAGGTGAAGGCTTGTGGACTCTAAGAGAGCTCATGCAATGCATAATGTTCAATTTTTTAAAGGGCAAAACCCAGGAACTTTGTAATTAGAATAGGTTTTATCGGCCTCATAATTTTGCCCAATCGGCCCAAAAGTTGTTATATCTTTTCTCGTGGCCCGACAAAACTCATCCATCTTAGGGAAAAAAAAATCATGTCATGTTTACTCCGTAGTTATCAAATAATTTTCAATTTTAATTATTTTTTGTACGAAAGTTGCTTTTTCAGATATTGTGGTCCCTAACTAGGATACGAAATCACGAATCATTGATGAAAAAAATACTTATTTTATTTTCATGACTAGGTAAAAAAATAAATATCAAGAAGGAAATTTTAAAGATAACGTAATTAAATAATTAAAACTACTATTATTTTTTATTTTACTTATTTAAATACCCTATATTTTCGGTAGGTTTCTATAATCCTCCCGGATAATGCTGGCTAAAAAGACACAGCCGATGACGTCCAACTCTTTAGACCATAAAAATAAAATGTTAAAAAAGCGTACCCCACAAGGGCCTCATCGTGGTCCACGTGGTCCTGTATAGCGGATATCATGCTGACGGGAGGCAAGGCCCTGCCTGATTTTCGCCTAAAAATATATTTTTATTTCGAAAATAAAAAAAAAGTGTTTAAAAGTATTTTCATTTTAAAAAAAAAAAAACAAAAATTTAAAATTTATTCCAAAAAATATAACATTTCAATATTTATTACTGTTCATTCGGGCAAAAAATTAGAGAATAGGGGGAAGATATTGTGTTTTACAACAATAATATTATACGTTTTATTTCATAATTTCATATATTTTTTTATTCAAATAGATTTTTGCTTTTAATTTATAGAGTCAAAACTTGTTCTGATAACATCAAAACTTGTTCAACCAATGACCACTTGGACAATTAGTGCCAGTTGTTTTACCTTAGCAAAGGCTATGGATTTTATTTTTTTGGAAACGGAGCAGTGTGGGCAGTAGGATTGCCGCTTATATGGGTTAAATCATGATCGGATTTGAATTAGTCTGGTTTGTAATTTTTTAAAAGATTGGCCAATATACCGGGTATGGTAGAAAAAAAATAAAAATTATTGGTTTTTACTTTTTAAAACCATAAAAAAAAAAAAAAACAACCTCTATATATTTGGCGCCATCTCGTAGTATCCATGCACAGACAACGTTTCGCAAGACTCCCAACTCACTTCAGGTGGACTCTCTCCTACGCTGCCAACAATAAATTTCCTGAGAGGCCTCACCAGTGAGCTCATATCGGAATAAGAAAATGGCGGTATAATTCCATGTGTCTAACCCTACTTTTGGAGATTCGAGCTTTTCGGATTTCATTTGGTAGTCCTCTAACTTGATTAACCAGTGTAGAACCTTGTTTGGCAAATTAATGCGCAGCTTCCCCAAAAGCAGCTTTTGCTTCGCCCACCCTGTGGCTTGCTCCTGATCCCAGTAAACGATGGGGCGAGCTGTTTTTCCTTTTCTACACTCCCTTCTGGCTTACTCTTCTCCTCGGAATCGTCGTTCCCTTCAATCTATACGAGGTTTCCTCCTTTCAGACCTCCTTTTTTTTTTTTTTTTTAAACAAGGCATCATTCACATTGAAACGCGTTGATTATATTCATGTAAAATACTAGTTCATCCGGCTGTTGACTTTCTACTTCACTGGTATTTTACGCTCATGACCTCTGTTGTGGACACCATTATTGAAATTTGTGCTACCTGCTGTAATCTGATTTACCCAGAGAATTAATATCTCTGTTTGCTTTAATAATATTTCTTCTGGGGCCATTTTTTATGTAAAAACAATTTTAGATACATGTTTTTATGTGCATCTGATGCCGAAAAGAAAATGTTGGTAATCGCCAGCGCTTCACAGAGTTGGAGTATTTGCTTGTTGGGTTGGTTTCAGCAGTTCCTTCTTTCTTGATACCTATGCTGTTTGTTGGAAAGGTGTGTTGAGATTACCTTTTAACTAGTACTGTTGACTTTGAAATTCCATCAACAACTTATATTTAAATTCCTTGTCTCAATTCTTTTTTGTAGGCTGATAAAAGCTTGTCTTGGAAGGACCGTTATTGGGTCAAGGCAAGTGTTAGCTAGCATACATATTCGAAATATTTATGAATTCTATATGATGCTTATCTACTATCAATTGATCGATAAGAAATAATAGAGTTATACTATGAATGTTAATTTCTCCATCATTTAGCACTACCTTCTACTGTATAACTCATTTGGATTAATAATGTTTTTGGCTTTTTACTTGTGTATTCTTTCCTTCAAGAAGAACCTCACTTACAGCTCTTTACCTTAATCTTGGACCAGTTAGATGTCTTTTTTGTTTTAATTGGCTAGATTATGCTCAGCCCTAACATGTTTTATACGATGCTGGCAGGCCAATCTCTGGATAATAATCTTCAGTTATGTTGGAAATTACTTTTGCACCCATTATTTCTTTTCAGTTCTGGGTGCATCTTATACCTTCCCATCATGGAAAATGAACAACGTAAGCTAAAGGACACTAAATTAAAGTTTCTGTTATTTGAGACCATACACTCTCCTATTAATTGTTGTGCATATCTGCATTTGGTGGTGACAGGTACCTCACGCAACTTTCCTGCTCACTCATGTTTGCTTCTTATTTTATCACGTTGCATCAAACATGACACTGCGCAGATTAAGGAATTTCACTGCTGATTTGCCTGAAAAACTTAGATGGGCTGCCGAGGCTGCTTGGATCCTTGCTCTGTCATATTTTATAGCCTACCTGGAGACATTAGCTATTTCCGACGTATGTAGTAACAAACCTTTCAATTTGTTTGCTTTAGTGCCAGAAAATCCTCTAGCTAAGATTCTTAATCTCATACTTGGCATCGTAGTTGGCTTCCAATACAAACTGCTTATATATAAGATATATTGTATGCAGTTCCCCTACTATCAGTTTGTGGATCGCGATGCTATGTACAAAATTGGATCTTTGTTTTATGCCCTCTACTTTCTTGTAAGCTTCCCCATGTTCATCAGGTGAGTTTTACCCTGCCAGTTAGTTAAATATATATACGTCTCATGATATGTACAGACACAAACACATAAAATAGTATTGTGTCAGTTAAGATGTCAAGTGTGAGACTTGACGTGGAAAGTGTCGTATCAGATAGAGTTAGGTTTAATAATGCAAACACGCATATATTTATAAATGTGGAAGGGCCCATGTACAATTGATGTGAATGTGCAGGATTGATGAGAAATCTGGAAACAAATGGGACTTAACCAGAGTGGCTGTTGATGCTTTGGGTGCCGCCATGCTTGTTACGATAATACTTGATTTGTGGCGCATCTCTCTGGGACCTATTGTTCCAATCTCTGGTTCAAAGCAGTGCCCTCCGTCAGGATTGCCATGGTTTCATCTGGATGGAAATATTGAAGCATGAGGATGATTTGAACAGAACCCTTCATGTAATTATGGTTCCAGAATGCAAAACCAGTATGTGCAGAAAGAACCAGATTGGACTTGTTTCGTAGCAGTAATTGCCAATTACCTATCAAACCAAGTTTGTGTTTACAGTTGCATCAGAGGAGTGTGGTGTATGCCTGTAAATAAAATCTGTACAATAAAGTTTACTGCAAATACTTTTTTTTCCTTTTAAATTTTGAGTGTCCCTACCCCAACCATCTCTGCATTTTCGTTCCTACGCTTTTGCTTTATCTTGTTCTTGTTTTAATAGTTTGTTTGGAACCAAATTTACCCAATCATCGTGGTTTAAAGACAACAAAAGGTTAGATGAAAAAATTAGCTGCTTAAACGAGCGGAACACCGGAGTTTGCAACAAGTACCCTCGTAACAAAAAAGTGGCTTAATAGACGAAAACCCCAAGTACTGCATGTGATGGATTTTTTATTTATTTGTAATTCAAGAAGGTATCCCCAAGCTATATGGAATGGAATGAGTTTCTCACACTGATGATCACCATGATACTTATCAAATCTCAATCATTTAATTATAATATGAACGACCAAAATTTAATATTTAATGTTTTTGTTTTTTTAAATATTTTTTTAATAGATATATAATCCAAAATAAATGTAATCTTTTAACTGTAGATAAACTATGTTACATGTCAAGCCAAAAGCATGCTCATTCCCAATTTGATAGAACATGCTCATTCCCAAAACTAGTTTCAAGCATGTCAAGCCAAAAGCATTTAAAATTAAAACCTATCAGTAAGCGTACTTCGCGAATTTGTGTTCTCTGCAAATTGCAAATGATGTTGGAATTGTTTTCGTGGGACGAGGCAGCATTTGATTGAGCTGACCAGGTTCCGAGAGGGATTCCTCATTCCTCAATAAGATCGCCCCAACGTCTACACGGAGGGCCTCGCAATTTCATCTAATCGGCCTAAAAAGCATTGTTCTCAACCTGGGCCCAGCGAAATCGACCCCTTTGAGATTTGTAATATTTTTTTATTTTTTATTTTTTTGGACGAAAGTGGCTTTTTCAAAAGTTGTGGTCCCTCTGTAGGGCATGAATCATTGATTAAAAATGTTTATTTTATGTTGACGTATGATTGAGATTGACATTTCAAACATCACATAATTAAATATTTTTTATTTTATTTATTTAAATGCTGTTCTTTGTTGGAGTCTTGGAGAAGTTTCTACAGTGCTCTCGAAAAGATGGCGAAAAATACAAAGCCGCTCGGATCAACTCTTCGCCGGGGTCCGTCCAAAAAAAAAGAAAACTCTTCGCCGGGGAACCTGCACATTGAAAATCACAGGGTATACAAATCAAAGGGGTGTTTGAATATAAACCATACTATGGTTTCAGAAGTGATTTTACAGTCTACAAGGTAAATATATAGAGGAGTTTATCTCGATTTGTGAAAAAGTGCTTATGAGAAGACTTTTCAGATATCCAAACACCTCCTAAGAGCATGTTTGGTTAAGTGATGGGATCTCAAATAAACCCGTTTAAATATAAACAAGTACTTATGAAACATGTTTAGGGTGTTTAGGGTGTTTGGATAATTTTTATAAAATCCCAATAGATCATGATTTTAACCTTCTACCTAGCAACTAAATTTGCTCCAATCTACCTCTCATTCTAATGTTATTTTTTTTAAAAAAAAAAAACATACAATATGAAACTGTTTTTCTTTTAATTTTACCTAAAAGACATTTTACAAAAAATCAGATACCTGATGACATATGATTGAAACAATGCAATCAAATATTCAAGTAATATTTTGATTCGAGGAGCATCATTAAATTAAGAAAATAATGATGACCAATAATTTTTCAGCTCATTTTTATATATAAAGGAAGTATATAGGGTCTTTTATTTAATATTTACTACACATAAATTGCTAAGTGATTTTAAATAATAATAATTTTAAAATAAAAATAATATTTATTATTAAATATAATAATTATGAAAATGTAAACAACTTTATTAACTTCATGTCCTTTTTAGTAATTATTCACCCCTAAGTGATTTTAATAAATAAAAACTAAATATAATCACAAGTTTTAAAATCATTTATAAAAAAAATCCAAACAAAAATTATGATTAACTAGTGTTACTTATAATATTTATAATTATCTAAAATCATAGTTGTTCACAGCATGTGAAAAAATAAAAGGCCTCTTCCCCGTGCCCTCTATACTGTGGATATCATTTTGGGCAAACTTAGAAAATGTGGCACTATTCCCTAGGCACTGGCAAAAAAAATAATGAATTATTATCTTAATTTTAATTATATATATACTCTTTCGGTCTTTAATATATAACTCAATTATTGAGTTAATTTTAGTTTTAAATATAAGACCAATTTCTCATATTTATTAATTTTCTCTAAATTACCGATATGGATACTCCTCCAACCATAATTAAATAGAAAAAAAAGATGGGGTATTAAGAAAGATGATTATGGTATTTTAAGAAAAACATGTGACATTTTTTATAATTAACTAATTTACTTAACTTTTTTAATCTAGTCACACTAGTTAAATGGGTCTTATATTAAAAACCGGAGGATTATATATATTTCCATGTGCATAAGACTCACATGACTCAGACAAGGCGATCCTATCTCTCCCTATCTTTTTGTGATCTGCATGGAGAAATTGGCCCATCTTATCCAAAATGAAATTGACCAAGGGCATTGGCGTCCTATTACATTAAGTAAGAATGAACCCCCTATCTCTCATTTGTTTTTTTGCTGACGATCTCTTAATATTTGCAGAGGCAAGTTTAGATCAGGTAGAGACTATCAAGAGTTGCTTGCACAGATTTTGTATTGCTTCTAGTCAAAGAGTTAGCGCTAGCAAAATGAGAGTTTATTTCTCCAAAAATGTGTGCCATACTAGGGTGGAACAACTGAGTGCAAAGCTGGCGTTCACACCTACTGCAGACTTAGGCAAATACCTTGGAGTTCCAATACAGCATGAACGTGTTTCAAAAGGGATGTATCAATTTATTATTGACAAAATTAAACAAAGACTTAACAACTGGAAAATTAATAAACTCTCTCTTGCAGGAAGGGACACTCTGATTAAGTCTGTCATTACGACAATTCCCAATTACATCATGCAGACTGTGGACCTCCCCATGAGCACCTGTGACGCTATTGAAAAGAAAGCTCGAGACTTTTTGTGGGGCTCTTCAGATGAACAACGGAAAATGCATCTCATGGCATGGCAAAGAGTATGTGAAGAGAAAAAAGTAGGAGGGCTGGGTATGAGGCACATCAAACAACAAAACAAGGCCTTTCTTGTGAAACTCGGTTGGGGACTCGCGAAAGATAGGGAGTCTCTCTGGGTCAAAGTAATACAAGGAAAATATGGCTGTGGCAATGATATGATCCCAACAATTGATATTCGAAAGGCAGGGTCAAACACGTGGCAAGGAATTAAAAAGAACTGGGCTCATGTTCAAAATGGCCTACAACAGTTCCAGGATCGTCATGGCCGCGAGAATATCCGTTGGAAATGGGAAAAAAATGGTAATTTCATGATAAAGTTGGCTTATAATTCTCTCAATCCAGATCATGGAATTCCGAATACCAACTGGACGCAAATTTGGAAACTGAAAATCCCTCACAGATGTCGCATGTTTGCTTGGCTTATGGTACATGAATGATTGGTGACAAATAAGATTAAATGGCGACGAGAATTACATCCTGATGGTAAATGCAGCAGCTGCAACTCTGAAATGGAAGAGTCGCTACATGTACTGCGAGACTGTGGACACGTCCAAAACATGTGGAAAGCTATAGTCAAACCTATCTACCATGATCGATTCTTCTCTTCTAACATGCATGACTGGGTTCACATGAATTTACATTGGAAAATGGGATGCGTAGATAGCTACTGGAAAGGACGCTTCATTATAATATGTTGGCTTCTTTGGAGGGTGCGCAATGAAAGCTACCATTCAGGAACCCCAATAGAGCTGGATCAGATTGTGTTCAAAGCGGAAATTATCCTAAGAAGCATGCAGAGTGCATCTAAGAAAATCAAGGGAACTAATATGGGCCAAGCTAGACATAATGATACTACAAACAGTACAACCACCAGAGAAAGAATTACAGTGGAAGTAGATGGAGCGTTCTCTTATATTCATAATGTAGCAGCTTGTGGAGGAATTATTAAAGATTCCAATCAGTGTTATCTGGAAGGATTCCTCTTGAATGTTGAGACAACCGATAGTCTTGCAGCAGAATCGTGGGGATGCCTAATTGGCCTTAAACGAGCCTGGGATAGTGGACATCGTGATTTAATCTTAAAAAGTGATTCCTTAGATGCAGTCCAACTAATCAAAGATGAGATTAATGATATGCACGATGACTGGAGGTTGATCATGAATATCAAAGATATGTTGAGCAGAGCATAAACCGTGGAGATTTGCCACATCAGCCGTGAAAACAATAGTGATGCGGACAATCTTGCTAAGAAAGCTCTTAATAGCCTGCATGGTCTCCAAGTCTTAGGACCATCTTCCCTTTTGAGTCTTCTCAACCATGTCAATAGCTAGTTTCCTTTGTTTTCCGACTTATAAAAAAAAAAAACTCACATGACATGGGCGTCTATAAAAAAGATGCACATGGGCAAAAATGGAATTCCATCTTCTTCTTCTTTTTTAACTATTTGGCGGCCTCGTGTCCAGTGTGCCACGTGAACCGTAAAGTGCGGATTGCAGGCTCAGAGTTCTTCAGAGTGGATTCACTCTCAGACTCAGCTTCACTCTTGCGCGCCGGACACCATTCCTGCGAGCGCTATCCGCGTCCGTATTTCTGATCACCTGCGACCTCAGATCAGAGTAACAGAATGGGCGGTAACTCCATTTCTAACTGTGTTGTTGAAGATTTGAGCTATTCGTACTTTTTTTTTTCCAGTACCTGAACTTGATTAACTTGTTGGAACCGTGCTTGGCAAATGCGCAGGTTCCCCAAAAGCAGCTTCTGCTTCGCCGAGCTTGTGGCTTGCTCCTAATCCGAGTAAACGATGGGGCGAGTTGTTTTTCCTTTTCTACACCCCCTTTTGGCTCACTCTGTGTCTCGGAATAGTTGTTCCCTTCAATCTATACGAGGTTTCCTTCTTTGAAATCCCCTTGTGTTTAACAACGCATCGTTTATAACGAAACGCGTGGATTCATGTAAAATACTAGTTCGTCTGGGCTGATGACTTTCAGCTTTGGTGTTATTTTACGCTCATGACCTGTTTTGACGCCATTATTGAACATTGTGCTACCTGTAATCTGATTTATCCAAACAATCTCTGGTTATTTTAATGATAATTCTTTCTGCCACTTTTAAGCAATGTTATTTGGATTACTGCATTTGTAATTCAGAAACGAGCTATTATAGTTTCTTGTTTTCGCTATTGTCAGGTGCAGAATGACCTGAGATTCTCTTCGCTGATAAACTATTCTAAGAAATAAAACTTTCTGTTGTATTGGGCATATATTTGGACTGCGTTACTGTGACCCTCACAAGGTGTGAGCTAGATGTGCGTGAATGTTCGGTTAACACTGAACAATTTGGGAACAACGGAAGCTAAATTACATTGGTGTCCGTTTATATCTATCTATTTACGTGTGATAAAAACTATGGAGATACCTTTTTAGATGATATCCTTTTGCTTCTTCTTGGCAGGATTACTTCGTTTGCTTCATTTATTTATATTGAAAGAACAATTTTACTTATATCTTTATGTTTGCATCTGATCCCAAAAAAATGTTGGTAACTGGCAGCGATTCACAGAGTTGGAGTATTTGCTTCTTGGGTTGGTGTCAGCAGTTCCTTCTTTCTTGATTCCAATGCTGTTTGTTGGAAAGGTATGTTGAGATTACCTACTGTCCTCCCAACCACTCATAATGGAAAGCATTTTAGTACGTCTGGCTGTGGCATTCTAATCACAATTTTTGTTTTTAAATTCATTGTCTCAATTTTTTGCAGGCTGATAGAAGCCTGTCTTGGAAGGACCGTTATTGGGTCAAGGCAAGTGTCTGTGCGGGGTAGCGTGCACATTCCAAATTATTATGGATATTGTACAATGCTTATTGTACTATCAGTTGATAAGAGATATTAAGTGATATTGGGAGCGTTGATTTTTTTCCATGAATTAACACTGCTTTCAACTGTATAAATCATTTGGAACAATGCTGTCTTTAGCTTTTTATTTGTGTTGAGTTTTCCGTCAAGTAAAAAAATTTACTTGCTGCTCTTTACCTCATTTTGGGCCTGTGGGCGAATCCCGTTACGTATCTTCTTTTAAGTGGTTAGATTATGCCCAGCCTAACTCGTTTTATACAATGCTGGCAGGCCAGCCTCTGGATAATAATCTTCAGTTATGTTGGGAACTATTTTTGGACTCATTATTTTTTTTCAGTCCTGGGTGCATCCTATACCTTCCCGTCATGGAAAATGAACAATGTAAGCTAAGGGCAAGAAACTTTCTTTTAGTGAGACCATAATCATATACTCTTATATTAAATGCTCTATTTTTATTTGGTGGTGACAGGTACCCCACACAACTTTTCTGCTCACTCATGTCTGCTTCTTACTTTATCATGTTGTATCAAACATGACACTGCGCAGACTGAGGAATTTTACCGCTGATTTACCGGAAAAAGTTAGATGGGCTGCTGAGGCTGCGTGGATTCTTGCTCTATCTTATTTTATAGCCTACCTAGAGACATTAGCTATTTCCAATGTATGTTTTAGCAAACCATTCTGCCTGTTGTTGGATAAAGATTGATGGTTCATGCGTAGTTTTTAATATTTTCAGTATCTGCAAGACATGATTTGTAGATATCTTAGCATTTATGTATTCCTGATTTGTTATTCAAGTTTGTCTAATTTTCTTCTATGATAAATCATACATTAGTCATCAAATATATATATATATATAACATAAAACCCAACCCAAATGCAAGTTCAGTAATATTCGCATAATTTATTTTGGTAGTTCTCATTGTTTGTTTGGGCTATTCAGATACATTTGGGATCTTACTCTTTTTGACAACGATTTGTTTCCTGGTACTCTTGTTTCCTTTCTCTTCTTTCAATGTTTTGCCACCCTTAAGTTTTCTTGCTTTTGTTCACAGCAACTTAATGTCTTGATTGTACAAGTCAAAGCATCTTAGACATTTATTTCTTATTTTAATTCATGAAGGTGGATATGTTGTTTTCTGTTCTCAGAATCCTTGGATTATTATGCTACATCCTTTGTTGTTGTTGTTGAACCATTTTATATTTGTCTTATTGGTGTCTCAAGATTCTGCATCTTAGAGGAACACATTCTGGATGTCAAATCCGCATCATCTTCAACAATGTCTGTTAAGCTCATGTACCTGTGGACGTAAAGAAGTCCATAGATGTAACCGTGCAGGCATAGTGCTGTTACACTGAGATATCACTGGAATCCATTTCTTCTATACATCAGTTATTTTCCTAAGATTCATTTCCTTCTTGTTACTTTACTAAAGCAATGCCTGGAAGGGCTCTGTAATCGCCTTATCTCTTTTGTGGACAGAGATTGATTGTCGTTACTGTAGGACTTGCAATTTTATACACGTTGCCTTTCAATTTGCTTTATTGCAAGATATGTTGATGTTGTCATGTAAAGTACTCTAGTTAAAATGCTGAGTCTCATACTCAGCGCTGTAGTTGACTTCCAAAACAAACTGCTTATTTATGAGGATCATTTATAAATGGTATTTTGTGCAGTTCCCTTACTATCAATTTGTGGATCGTGGAGCTATGTACAAAGTTGGATGTTTGTTTTACGCCATCTACTTTTTCGTTAGCTTCCCCATGTTTCTGAGGTGAGTTTTAACCATGTATGCTTGTCTCTGAATATTTGCTGACCCAAACGTATGAAATGGAACTCTGTGAATGTTGCTTTAATTTTCCTGATGATGATTCATGTGAATGTGCAGGATTGATGAAAAATCTGGAAATAAATGGGACTTGCCGAGAGTGGCTGTTGATGCATTGGGTGCTGCCATGCTAGTCACAATAATACTTGATTTGTGGCGCATCTTTCTCGGACCTATTGTTCCAATCCCTGATACAAAACAGTGTGCTCAATCAGGATTGCCATGGTTTCCCGTGGTCACAAACCAAACATGAGAATTATTTGAACAGAACCCTTGAATTGATTACTGTACCGGAATGCATGCAGAACTTGTAGAAGTAACCAGACTGGACTTCTTTCGTAGCAATAATTGCTAACTCCCTGATCAAGTCAATCTTGTGTTTGTTAATTAGTGCTTTAGATTTGCATCTTGGTGTAATGGATACATGTGACTAATTTCTGTACAATGAAGTTGACTGCAAATCAGTTTTTTATGGCCCGACCCTCTCGCCATTTTCATTCCTAGGCTTGTGCTGTCTCTAAATTCTTGTTTTAATATTTTGCTTGGAGCAGCAGAATTGATACGATGTCTGCATATTGGAGGGAGAAAACCGTCAGGGGTTGGCTCAAAATGATTGTACAGTCAAGTCAGTGAGTCGAGTAATTCATCAGAGCACGGTAGATATGGATGTGGTATACAAGTGGTAGTTTTTCAAATGGCACAAGGGAATTTTGGAACATGAAGACGTAGTATTGAGGGTTCAATGTATGTGAACGCGCTGCAGATTCGTCCAAGCTGTTTGGCTGTTTGGAAAATGCAAAAAATTTGCTCTATCTCACCTTTAATATCCCACAAATAATGATATAATCGGGGATCTACACGCTCACAGTTTTCTCTTCAGAAAGAAGCAGGCCTCCACCGAGACATTAGGATACATGATACAACATTAGTAATTTGAAGGACGCTGCATTCAATTCATTCCAAAGATTATGAACTTGATGCAGACAATTGTTATAAAAAGAACTTTATATGGGCTTGGCTGCAGGGTGCTCATTGAGGGCCCAAGTTTGATGATACAAGTGTTAAATGGAGATTCGGTTGAAAGGCCCAGGTTAGTCCAACTTCTCTGCCTTATAACCGGCCTAAAGGTCTTGGGTCAAATTGGTGATTCCATGATCCCAACAGCATTAGGTGTTGATTAAGGAAGCTGCGGGGTGGGCTGGAGGATCAATTTATGGTGCAACAGTTGGTGACGGTCAGTGTGTGATCGCCAAACTTTTTAGTCTTGCATCGCAATGAGAAAAAAAAAATTAAGAATTTAAAAAAATTTCTGTGACAAGATGATATTATAATTAGAATCATGAGACTCCATTTTTTTTGGGGCCTCCCCCGGGGGGGGGGGGTTGTAATCAACATTTAAGATGATTTTTCATAAACGAATATCCATAATGGTTTTGTAACGAAAATATGCGAGGAGTAATAAACACTTTTTAAGAGGTGGGGGGAAAAAAGCAGAAAAGAGGCGGCACCAAATAAGCAGTTTCGGCAAAAAGGAGTGAGGAAAAGGCGTATAACGCGGCGCACACAAGTTTCACATACGGTTTTCAACTTCAGGTACGGTTCAAGAAATTTGGGACACTGCGTCATGAAACTTCCTTCTACAACGTCAGTTTACGAATGCAAGACAATTACCAAATTTCATCCCATCAAACCTAAGTAAAAGACATCGAAACAAAAGACAACTGATAGGGACTTGGAGAACTTATCAAATCACCAAGCGTGACTTGTTCAAATTTCAGCCGCCGTTGTAAGGGCTTGTCACTGCAATCACTTTGGGAATTGTTTGGATCTGTTTCTTTTTAAATATTTATAATTATTTTCTCTCAAATTAAGATTTTTTTTATATTTATACTACCTCTGGTTCTTAATATAAGACTCTATTTGACTTTTATTTTGATTCTAAATATAAGACCCAAATCCACTTTGTATATCATATTTATACATTTTTTTTCTAAAGTAGCCATTCTAATAATAAGAGTTCTAGTTAATACACTTGATTAGCAAAGATATTTTAGAAAAAACAATACTTATTTATGATAAATAACTAACTCAACTTACTTCCTTAATCTTCTCAAATTAGCCAATTGACTCTTACAATTAGGACCGAAGATAGTATTTTGTATTCTGCAAATAATTCTATCGTTATTTTAAACATGCCCTAAAATATATCAAATATGTGGCAAAACTCCTAGTCTATGAATCAGATTCTGTGCAGTGTGCAGTACACCGACAGTTGCCACGCGCCATTGCCAATATCGATAACATGGGGTAAAAAAAGGGGGTTGTCAAAAGAAAATCATGGTTTTAAGAAGAAGCCAACAAAAACATATTTTTTTTTTGGCAAAAAGGCAAAAAATCACTTATGTATTGAAAATCATGGTTTGGGAATGGAAAACTGTGGTTTTTGAGAAGTCCTTTCTTTTCACTTGTGAAGGTGAAAGATCATGGTTGCCGCGCTTTCCTTTGCTGCGTGAAGGTTAAAAAACAAAACAAAGAAGCGCTGTTCGTTGGAGAATAAATTTCCACGGACACGTGTTAGTTCTTGATTGATTGAAGGTCATTCATTTTGACGCTGCCCCCGCATTTTTAAAATTTCACGAGACGTTGACCGTTTACATATTCGCAGACTTCGAGATGAGAATCTTGTGTCGAGCCCGCGTTATTCACGTTTTCCTTTTCTTCGTCTGCTTCAATGCCGTGATACCAAAACTGCTTATGGCATGACGTTCTTGTTCACTAACATTTCTCGAATAACCCAGCAACTTCGTCTCACGGTCCTTCGTCTTCTTTTCTTCGCCGTGTTCATCGACGTCCTTGTTCTTTGATATTTTCGAGCAACCCCAGAAACTTCGTCTCAACTTGCTGGACAGAGAACCTCAAACGCCCCCAACACCCCCCACCACCAATATAAAAACGCTATCGCCCCCAAAGCTATTGTCATTCACAAACAAAATCATCCAAACAAGGGTGCGATTTGTCGATTATATTGATCAGTTTGAAATTATGAAGAGGGCCGTTGAGTTTGAGCGTGTTCTTGGGTACTTTGATGAAGATGGTGACGGGAAGATTTCAGCGTCGGAGCTCCAGCACCGACTAGGATTGATGGGAGGAGAGATATTGCAGAAAGAAGCAGAAATGGCGATAGAGGCTTTGGATTCAGACGGCGATGGGTTGCTGAGTTTGGAGGATTTCATGGCGCTGATGGAAGGAGGAGGGGAGAGGATGAGAAATTGAAGGACATGAGAGAAGCTTTTAACTTGTATGACACTGAAAGAAGTGGCTTTATCACTCCAAAAAGCTTGAAGAGGATGCTCAGCAAGCTGGGGGAATCAAAGACGATTGAAGAGTGCAAAATGATGATCACTCAGTTTGATCTTAATGGGGATGGCTTGATTAGCTTCGATGAGTTCGTTCTGATGATGCAGTAATATTTGAGATCCATCTTCTCTACTGATTACACCATCTGGCAGATTACTACGCACTGCATCAATGTATTGGAAAACATACACAAAAGCTGATATACATATCAGTTAGTCGAATCTGTACATGACTAGCAGGATTCCATTTATATCTTGATATATTGATTGATTTGTATAAATTCAAATTCTTTTTAGGTACCTTCTGCAACTAATTGATGACATACAGAGTTTCTGTTGATATAGATAATTTGCTTTGAGCCATCTTAACCTTTTCCCGCTACAAGGGACTGCTGTCCATGTTATGAAAAGAGTGAATTGATTGAACGGAAAGTAACAGGGTATTTACCAAGTTTCAAACCCATTTACAACTATTTTTTCAAAAAAAAAAAAATCAACTATTTTTCTGGTTACATATATCAGGAAATAAGTTTCAGTTACTGAATCACTGTACTTGTGGGGGAAAAAGTCGGGGAATGATTGTGAAAGTATTCTGTGATGAATGTTATATTCTCTCGAGAGAAATATTGTTACGGTGCTGTTAGATTTAAAGTCAATAGTTATCAGATATTTTCTTGATTAGAAAATTTTTATAGTTCATAGAATATAATACTTCTTCGCTCCTAAATATAAAATGCACTTTGTAGTGTAATTTACCCTATAAAGTAAATCTTCTATTTATGACTGGAGGAGTACTACTTTATCTTTAATCTAAGATCTAACTTATAGTTCAAATTAAACTACAAATTAAATCTTATATTAAGAAATAAAAGTAGTAAAACTAATAGTTATTTGAAATTGAAATCGCGCACATGAATACATAAATGCCCTAAATTTAAAGATATTTTAAGGGAACAATATTTAATTAATTTATCATTAGTGTTGATGAAATTTCACTAGAAATCACACAAATATTTGATATGGACTGTGGAGGGTCGATTATATATGAGCACTAAGGCAGCGAGGGGGATGCGTTAAGCGGTAGAAACAGAACTGTGGGGCTTTAACCCCAGGCCTCAATGAGATGCCGATAAAGCGCAATAAAGGGTTACGTAATGATTATCTGTCCATTCTATTCTCTTATCCGGTCGCCTACTAAACATAAAACCTCACGAGCCTTCTTTTGATTTTTGTTTTCATTTTTTTATACATAAGAGATCGCGAGTCGTTGACCGTTATGTCAGTTTCTTTCAAAAAGAATGAAAAAGAACATTTGACCAACTATTTGGCATTCCAATTTCTAAGTCTAAACCGTATGAAAAACCCTGTGTGCGCCGCGTTTTCTCCACTTTTCCTTGCGCCTATCTTCTTTCGGAAAGACCACATGGGGAATGACGTCATTGTTCGTTCCCCACAGACTACATCAAAAAACGCGCCAAATCCATCCTTCATTATTATAAGGCTTCCTCAGTTCCCACCAAACTTCTCATCACAATAACACATTCTTATTCCAGTCACTCTCATTTCCTTATACAAAAGAGTACCTCAGTTCACTCTCTCTGACTGATAATATGAAGAGGACGGTTGAGTTTGAAGTTGTTCTTAAATATTTCGATGAGGATGGCGATGGAAAGATTTCTCCGTCGGAGCTCCGGCACCGACTTGGCCTGATGGGTGAGGAGATGTTGCAGAAAGAAGCAGAAACGGCGATAGAGGCTTTGGATTCAGACGGCGATGGGTTGCTGAGTATGGAGGACTTGATGGCGTTGATGGAAGGAGGAGGGAAGGATGACAAGTTGAAGGACATGAGAGAAGCTTTCAACTTGTATGACACTGAAAGAAGTGGCTTTATTACTCCCAAAAGCTTGAAGAGGATGCTCAGCAAGTTAGGGGAATCAAAGACGATTGAGGAATGCAAAGTGATGATCGCTCCGTTTGATTTGAATGGGGATGGCAAGATTAGCTTTGAAGAGTTCATCATCATGATGCAGTAATTTAATTTTGTTTGTACAGATCCTCCTTTTCTGCTCTGTAATACTCTATGTCCTGTAAATTCAATTGCTTTCTAGCTAGCAGCTTCTT